TTGCAAATTGCTAATACAGATAATCACAAGCGGCTCTGATTTCACATTATACGACTACTAAAATTTGTGTATGCACTGTCCGAGGGTCTGGTTGTATTCATTACTGCAAGGTACTGGATGTGCTTGGTTTTTTTCCGTGGCCATACGGGAGGCATTATTTTACAGTTACACCACACGACTCCACACCTCACCACAGAGACCCCCTGAAAATTGGACTTGTCCGAGGAAATATTAAGAACAGACACTTTATCTTTTGCGCATATAAAATAACAGAATTGATCAAGCAGCAAAGGCTCACCAAAAAGCATATGCACCTTTTATAACATTCACAGAAAGGGTGCTGTGGTGGCGCAGGGGTAAAGCACAACCCATATATGGAGGCCTTAGCCCTCCATACGGCTGTCACAAGTTTGAGTCCCGGCCTGGTGACCCTTGTCGCATGTCTTCCCTCTTTCTCATTACCTGCTTTCCTGTCTGAGACCACTCTCAAATAAAGACCACTAGAGCCAATAAAATAAATTAATAAATAAACGTTAATTAATATGCCTCTTGACTGCCTTTGGAGCACTGCACCACATAGACTGGAACATGCTAAAGCTAAAATGCATGTGTCTGTTGAAGTTTTAATTTCAAAAAACTCATTTTGAACTTTAACTTCCTAGTGAGACCAGCATTGAAAAGCACATGTCTGTGGTTATTTCTAAAGAACAAACCGACAACTTTATAAAACCAATGATCAATTCCCATTTAATTAACTTGACGTTATTATCAATATCAAATATGACAACCAAATCCTGAACATGTGGTGTCACACAGAGTTCATGGTTCCATATGAGAAGTGCTGGCACCACTGGGTACATGTGCAACTGGTTTTCAGTATCAGCTGTGCCACACAGCAGTGTGTTTATGTGAACTTAATTCACCACATCTGCACTATGGTGTTGAGTTCAGCTTGCACTTATAGTCCCCTCACGCAGGAGTGTGAGACCATGCCATGGTTCCCATGGCCTTTTTAAACATGGCTGGACAGCAACAAATTATAGCGATAATCATGAAGCTGCTCTACTCTTACTACTTGCCAAATGCCAATTTTTAAGAGTCTTGAGATTCTGAATGTGCTATGTATTGCAACACACTTCTAAAACCCTTCGGTCTGAGCATAATGTCATCTTTTTCTTTTCTTTTTTTTAAGATAAACACTTCGGCATACTAGGCTCCAGTAGGTGGCGGTGATGCACACCAATTAGTTGCTTGCCAAAATGCCAATAAGAAAAGAAGGAAGCATGCTGAGCTGGTTCCTGCGCTCGTCAATGAAGGCTGTGATTAAAAAAAATAATAAAATCTGTCGTCCCTTAGTTGACTCTCCAGTAACGTAAAGGATTGTTCTTACCTTCAATGGAAGGGGTTGGTTGTTTGAAGGAGCCATATGTTTGTTTCTTAGCCTCCGTCTTGGGTTGGTGAGTTGTTTTGGAGTTTGATTTATTGATTCTAGATTTATTCTGACAGTTTCATAGTCTCTTTCTCTGATTCAATAAGTCTTGTTTCAGTTTTCCTTCAGTTCAGTCCTTCTGTTTATTTTTACTTCTTGTCTCTAGCTATTCCTACTCTAGTTTAATTATATTTCCTAGGTGTAGTTATTCATGTTAGATTTATTTCCTAATCCTTTATGTACTCTCCCAAACCCCTGTGCCATTCTCTCTCTCTCTCTCTCTCTCTGTCTGCCTTCTGCTCTCTCCCCTCACACCTGCAACCTGTTTCTAATCAGCCATCATTTGCTTGTTCAGTTGTCAACTTCGCTGGTTCCTGTTGTTTAATCCTGTTCAGTTCTTTTACTTCCCTTTTGTTCCCAGTTCCTGTTAGTTTTTTGTTTTGCTTAGACTCTCTGTGGAGTTTTTTGTTGTAATTTTTATGCGTTTTTTTTTTAGTCTTCATTAAATCCTCAAACCAAATCTTTGCCTCAGCCTGTCTACATTTGGGTCCACTCAGCTAACGCATCATGGCACATTCTGTGTTTTTGTGATGCTGCTTCAAATGCATAATGAGGTAGGCCTTATTATGCATTTGTGGCACTGGTCTTGCACTCGGCTAGCATTTAATATCTTTTTTGGTCTTTAATGAAAAGTACTGCCATTAAGCTGACATCGCCTCTACTCTAGTAGTGTCATCTACGACTCTGTTAAATTCCTGTTGTTGTGATCATGTCTGCTCTGCATGAGAGATACAAGCACTACTGAATAAAAATACTGGGGTGGACTATTTGCTGGATCAAAAGTCTGTGTCATTGCTATTTGCTGAAATGGATTGCTAGTACATAGATGCAGAACGATAAAATCTCATACCGTTTTTTGGCTGATATCAGGACACCCTTAGTTTTGTGTAAAATGTATTATGTCACAAAATAAACCCAAGACTCCTTAAACACCATCATTACACTATCTTACGCCGTCTGCCATATTCTCTCTTGGTGAGCTTTTCAAAACTGTTGTGTAAAAAGGGGGGAGGTTACATTGTTCCTAACATGATGCCAAACATCTAGCCAAGACCCGGTAAAGACTGCTCGCATTTTATCTGATTTGTCTTTAAGCTGCAGCACAGTTGTCATCTAGTGTGAATGTTGATAGAATACAGTATTTACTATAGTTCCCAAGTAGTTATTGTTGAAGAATACTCCCCCAAGTCAAACGTCAGAGCAACATTCACTGTTTCTTGCATTGAGTTGGCATGTTCTACCCAACCGAAGCAACCTGATGATGCAAAGGCTGACTGACAGCCCTGACTTGTCTGTGACCTTTTGCTCCACCATTCTTTACTACTTCCTTCCCTTTTCTGTCATGTCTTCTTTTTCTTTCTCTGATGTCCTTTTTCATTGGTTTGCCTTTATTCTCTCCCATTGTGCGCCCCAAACTCATTTTAATTAGTTATTAGCTTACTAACACCTTAATTTTCTGTGCACATGGCAATAAAGTACGTATATGGTCCATAATAAACAAAAACCGACAGAACATCAACAAAAAAACAATAAAAATAAAATGATCATCCATTATCATTTGAACTAAGGTGCCAATGATTCCACAAACCAGAGAAGAATCTAACTGAGCTTTGAACAGGGTTGGTCAAAGTCGGTATGATTGTGTTTCCACAGCCTATTAACCTACACATTCTCTGAACATAAGGTTTCGAACCACAGCAGTACAAGTTGGTAAACTGGCATTTACCAACATCTGACTCCATTGCGGCATCTTACGCACCATCCTTATGTCATCATTGTGTACGACCTGAAGTTCATCCATCTGCTAAACAGTCTGGCAGCATTGCTGCTGTAAAACAGGCCTAACTTTTTCATGTCCCTGATGGATAAAAACTAAGATTATTATTTTACTCAGATTTGATTGCAAATGCTTTAGGACCCCAGCAACCAACAGCGTTGTGGGACTATTATTAAAATAATAATAATAATAATAATTACATTTGTGTAGCTTCCCAAACAAAAGCTTGAGGCTGCTTTGTGGCTTTAGGTATGAAAATTGTCATAATTGATGGAACCATCATTTCTGTTGTCTGTTAATAAGAAGAGGAAGAACGGTTAGCCATCAGTTTTGGACAATGTTGACGCCGTAATTTCTAAAATAAAGTTTTTGACTCGTCCAGTCAAAGTCCAAACTACAGCAAAGTAGTTTGTTTTAGGGGCAAATCACCCGTAGAGAGATATTTTCTTCGAGTAACTAATTTACATTTTAATTGAATTTCTTATATTTGTCTTTCAATAATCACAAACTCGTGGAAATATTCCATGCAAGATTTGGTACTTCTGTTGCTGCGCATAAGCCAGCAAAACGTCAACAAGCTCATGGGTTGGACATTTTTCCTGTGATGGGTAGTTCCACTGCTCCTGGTTATCACCAGATCAGGAACCAAGAATCTCATGAAAGAACCTGAATTTAAAGTTACCACTAAGAACCATCTACTTTAAAACCTTTTACTTGTTTCTATTTCTCTTGACAGTGGCCCTAAAACCAAAGACCTTCTAAAGATGAAGGTGTAAAAGTTGATTCTCTGCCATTTAAAAAAGAAAAAAAAAATGCTTTTGATTTGCAAGAGATCATCTGTTTACATGAAAGAACATCACAAACATAATTCACCCAAACTGTCGTGGGTTAAAAGAATAAGGCGGATGGGGTGTGAAAGCGAAATATAATTTTGATGCCAAAAATAACGGCAATGTTTAGCTGCCAGCAACAGTTTTGCATCCTGCCATGGAGGAAGTCAGGGTGTAGATGCCATGAAACGGTGAGGTAGCAAAGGAGGGAATCCACCCAGAGAAACAGCAGCTCGGTTGCTTAAAAAGAGAGCAGGGAGTAGGTTCCCAATTACGAAAACTTTCAAGGAAAGTTTACAACTAGATTGAAAAAGGAGGCATCTCGAAATTCTATGCCAAAAAAAAAAAAGTGTTGCCAAGTAATTTTATCTGCAAATGAAGCATGTTGTGCTCACACAAGAGGGAGAGAGTTCATGTAACATCTGGAGGAAAGCCTGGACTCTTTGTTATTTATTTATTCCTTTATTTCTGCAGGATCTCTTCACTCTCTCCAAGGTCAGAGGTGCAGCTAAGGAATGTGTTTCCTCTGTACAAGACAAAAAAAAAAGCAAAACATACAGTGTGGGTATGCCATTGCTCAAACCATTTGTTAGTTCAGCCTGGGTTATCTAACTCTGACAGAAGCTAATGAGGAAGAAGCTAAATAAGCCCTGGCTTCTAGTTTAATCCACCTTTTTGTCAGTCTTTTTTTTTTTTTTTTGGTTTGGTTACGTGTCATTGAGCCTTGTGACGCTGCATCTTGCTTCTTTGTCCATGTGGAAGCAAAATTAATGTAAACTCGAAACAGAGAGAGCTGTAGATCAAAGCAGATCAAAAATAGTCATGTGATATCGCCACATGACTTCTGGGTCAGGAAGCATCTACTTTCCCGTGCAGTGAACCCAGTCACAGCTGTGGTTGATCTTTCCACTCTTTCCCACAGAAGGCATAGCCCGGCTGGAGCCTGTTGATATGTGTGTATGCGTTTGAATGTGTGTGTTTGTCCTCACTGACACAAGGACGACCTGAACCACTTTCACCTGTACTTGTCAGTCAGCCTGTAAGTCAGGAGGTCCCTCCCAGGCCCAAGGCCCCCAGCCCCTCCCGGTGGAGGCTGTTTTTTTTTTTTTTTTTTTAAAGTCATGACATTCTGATCTGAGCATTCCTTCCTTGCCAGGTCACCGAGACCCAGATGAGGAAGACCGAAGAAGGAGGAAGGACGGTGCGAAAGCTTGGACAGAGGACAGAAGGTAACGAGGAGAACCAAAAGCAACGTTGAAGAGGTAAAAGATACACGTGGAACACCTGCTCTCTGCTGTAGGTTCGGATGGCAGCGTCAGCGAGACGTATTTAAAACGCTTCTCTCGGCTTTGTAAAACCTAGACACACAGTCGGTTTTGATTAATGACGAAAAGGAAAGCGCACACTCAAACACCGGGGAAGGTTTCGGAGCGCGTGGAATCACTCCTTCCCTCCCTCTTCCTTTCCTCTGGCACATCCCCATCATTCAGCTGGGCAGCAGCAGCTAATAACCAACAAATAATGACAAGGATGAAAACACAGGACATCAGGGGCAAGAGGGAAGGCCAGCCGAATCCGGGGATGGTGCTGCTCGTAAAGAGACGCCTGGAATAATGGGAAAGGAATGCCGTGCAACGACTCCCACGGGACCGGGTCCAGCCGAAGGCCCTCTGGCTCGCCGACAACAAACGGGAACGCTTGAGGAGAGCAGGGTGCACACATAAGGGCTTTAACAGCACATCCCAACCGCCCCCCCACCCTTCCCCGCCCCTCAAAACACACACATTCACAGATCCCCCCCTCAACCCTCCCCTCCTCCCCCTTCCTGTGCCGACCTACTGGAGTCGGCTGTTGTTGTTGGCTGCCTGCCGCTTTCGGAAGAAGCTCTCTCTCCACTCCATCTTTCTTTCTTTCATGCTGCAAAGGAATTGCTGATAAAATGTCATCTTCAGGGAGCTCTTATGAAAAAGTTATTGCCATCCACTTTTGCCCGTATTAAATAATCTTGCACCTCGTCTGCTCTCTACATCTTCAGATATATTCACTGTTCAGTGACGATCCCATGACATCCTTATTTCCTCTGTCGCTCTCTGTGTGGCTTTGCGTTTTCATCGGCAGACCAATCATTTATTCTCTGCCCCAAAGGGGAGTGCTTACTGTCAACTCCTTACAACCATATTCATATGTACATTTTTTAGCTTTCAAAAAGGAAAATGTTCTTTTCATGTTCTACCTTTGAACTCAATTATTCATGTGTGTGTGTGTGTGTGTGTCTCTGGGTCTTGAGCGGCATATATGAGCCAGATATAGGAAAACCAGTCGCCTCTTTTTCATTTTGCTTCTGCAAGCAGAGGTGCTGTCTGATACATGAGGTGCCTGACACATGCACAGCTTGTATAAGGAGACTCTGATTCCACAAGACACGCACGCCCATGTGTATGTTAGGACACAGAATATCCTCTCATGACTCACGTGGATTCCTGGGGTGCGTAGGTTGCGCGAGGAGCCGTGTTAAGAGTCAGCAGTCGGACAAGTTGAAGGGGAGAGACGTTCGGTGAGGATGGAGGGAGGATGGGGTCCTGATCTCAGGCCGGAGTCGCCTTTTTGCTCCTTAAATCACAATCGGGGTCTCCTGGGCCAAAAATGTTCCCACTGCGAACCTTTTAATTTTCAGGAGATGCTCCAAAACACAGTGGGGAAACAGACATCCTCTTCAGAGAGTAAATTTCAATACTTAAAATGATAGAAAGTAGATATAAAATGTCTACGCTTACGTTTTAGACGGTATATAATTCAGTGCAGTCATAACTATATGAAATAAGGAAGAGAGATGATCCGGCTCAGTGAAAAATGTCTTTTTAAAACACTTTTGTGTTCACTCTTGCAACTTTATGTGAAGCATTCTCACAGTCAATTAACATATATGTGTGAGTTGCATGATTTCTACAGCCGTCATGTAGAGGCTTGGGATTTATAATCTATAACACTGAAGTTAAAAACCACTATTATTTGTGACTGCAGTTTTTTTTTTTTTGTCCAGCAAGTAAACGACATGGGCAATAAAAATAAACATAACAATCCCAATGTTAAACTTTCGCAAAGCACCAACATTTTTAACAAGTGACATTGTTTGTTGCAGAACAGTTCATTCTTTGGAACGATATATATCAAATACTGTTTATAAGCCCTGTGCTGGGTATGCAGCGCAACTTTGGCTTCACAATAAAGCAATTTCTGATCAGTCATGTTGTCTCTTCCTTTCTGCTTTGGTTTTCTCTTTTCAAGCCAAAAAAAAAAAAAAAAGGCACAGAAAAGAAATCAAGACAGCAAATCTTCCTCTCTTCGCCCTCTAGTGCTTCTCCTTTTTTTCTGCCCTACTGTTCTCTACCATGACAACCTCTTTCACAATACTTTCTCTCCAGTCATTCTGGGACAAGGGCCAGCGTGGTGAGAGCGAGAGTCTCTTTATATTCCACTTTCTTTTACTAAGACAGCACATTTCCACTGCACTGAGAATGCAGTTTTAGTATTTATAGGTGTTCTCTTTTCATAGGACACCCTCTGTTGGCAGGTTCCCACCAAATGGAACCAACAATGTAGAAAAGCCTGGCCGTGGGAAAAGAGAGGAGGAAAGAAAAAAAACAAAAAAAAAAACATGTTTTTCTCTAGAGTTCATTCAAAATTATTTGAAGCCTGGAATTAATAATTCATTGTCTTTAAGTCTCAACTTTAAACATCCACATGGCAGTTGGATATGGCATTTATTTTTATTATGACTTGCAGTTCCTTTAAAAAGTTATTCAAACTCTGTACTTTTTCACATCTTGCCACGTTACAGCTAAAAACTTTGTATTGTATCTTTGTGAGAAACTGACACAAAGCAGGGCATAATTGAGAAGTTGAAGAAAAGGAATAAATGGTTTTAAAAAAAAATTAAAAATTGAAAAATGTTGTATGCACTTTATTGAGCTCCCCCTGAGTTTATACGTCAGAGGAACTTCTTGCTGAAAGTAAAGCCAAAAGTCTTTTTAAGAGTACTGGCTTTCTTTCCCATTTGTACCTGTTCGCCTCATCTTGACTTGACTTTACTCAACTCCACTCGGTTTGGGTGTTGATGTGATTTGTATTTCCTTATCAACCACAAAAATGTTGGTGCCTTATTGTTGGACCATGGTGTCGATTCCAGTTTTGTCATTTTCCTTAAAGCTCTGAATATGCTCAGTCACCGACGCTGTTGATTTTATGAGTGATCATCTGTTAAAGGAAACATAAGGAAGTGTGCGTATATTCATGTTGCGTGTTCCCCACCCCCCCTGACGTGCTGAGCAGGTGGTCATAATACGCTCTTTGAGCTGAAACGCAGGAAGAGACGGCGGCAGCTCTCCGACACATTCCAGTGTGGCATAAATTTATGTCGAGACAGAACGAGGACGGAATGAAGCCACGGCCTCTTTATGTTCAGAGCTCACCTATGTACCGTATTCACATCTGTCCGCTGGTCCCCGTGAGCACGCATGATTGAGCACATGTGTGCTTCTCATGATGCCTCACCTCACCTCTCTCCCACAGCTTCCCAGCAGCTTCCAGAGGATGAAAGCGAGTGAAACCCCAGACTAGTGGGGCTCCACAGCCAATTACGACTGTTTATTTAGCCAGCCACGGCTGCCTAACAGAACAGGAGCACACAGCCAGCCACACAGCCCTGCAGGGGAAACCTCGCTTGTCTTGATTTTTCTCTTTTTCCACTCCTTTTAAACTCCACTGGCTTCAGCCTCTCTCCAGTTTTTTTTTTTTTGTCTTTTTTTTTTACCTTTTTTTTCAGACATTCATTTTTCTTGCTTGAGAAAAACTTTAATGAAAAAAGGAGGGTAACTATCAACCACCATCTTCTCCCTCATCCATCACTGTGATCAGCCCTTTACAGTTTCCCCCATTGCCTTGTTCTTCATCTTTAACCCCACATCTGTCCTTTTCTTCCTCACTTAGCTACACTTTTTTCCCACCTCATCACATCAACACAAATGTCCTGTGATTTATTGGTTCACTGACTGATGCCCCGGGGGAGGGGGGGGGGGCTTTAGCTGTGTGTGTGTGTGTGGATCAGGATGTATATTTGGGGTGTGAAGCGGCGAGGCACTGAGCTCCATGCACAGAGATGGGGCGAAGCAGCAACGCGATATTCATTCACAACACATTTGTCATGCTTAGGCTTGCTTCATGAGAGAAAGCCGCATCTCTATTGGACCAACCACTCCAATGACGCCTCGTGGATTTTTAAACGTACTGTACATGATGCATCCTTGAACTAAGTGGTTGTTTTACAGGAAGAGATGTTTGTCATGGCAATTATAGGAAAAAGGGGAAAATGTCTTGGTTTCTTTGAGTAAAATTAAAAAGAAAAGCAAACATTTAAAAGTATACATACATGCAAATGTGAACATGCACACCTCATCTGAAACTTGTGCTTCAAACTTGTGTAAACGGATCTTTGTTGACCTTTGCACATGGCTTCAGAGCTTGACCTGTCAATGGCCAAATAAGTACCCAACACACACTTAGTAACCCAATCGCCTTGCTAGACGGGTACCACAGGGATAAATGGTGCTCCGACCCCTTGGCTGGCATTAGGCCACACTGAGAAAGTTCCCTTTAAGGTCACAGAACAGACTGACGTGTCCAGGTAGAACGGCCACTTTTTGCGTCAATGCACATCAGAATAAATGAGCAAAGGTGAATTATCCACAGTTTGGGAGTTTAGTTGAGGTAGTTTAATAACAGAGCAGCACAGAGGAGGAATAAAGGCTTGTTCACTGACTCATTTCACATGGGTGTCTGCGGTTCGGCCCTGTCCTGACCACACTGCGCTGCACGTGTGTTTGCTCCACAAAGCTTCATTCAACAACACAGAGAACTAGAGATCATAAAACACAAGATTTCATTTTGAAAGTATTTTGATAAGCGCATGTTAGCCTTTGAAAATTTCTAAAAGAAAAGTTAAAGTAATTTTTTTTTTTTTATCGTACCTCTATGTAGAGTTTACGTGCTTAGTGTCATTGTATAACTGCACTTTTAAAGTACGAAAAAGATGAGGAATTGAATACTAGGACAGGGAAAAGTCTCGATGAGATCAAATTGTAATTCATTTTAAAAACTACAATGATTGACCAAAGTCGGATCTTTATCTTATGCTCTTAATGCTTGTCTTTGCGTTAGTCATCTACTGTTTTAGACTCTAATAATACGATAAATAGAGCATTACAGTCACACGTAAGCTGTTTCTTCATTGTCAAGTCTCACTCTAGCCTGGTTATGTCTGGTCAGGTTCTACCCCAGTTTGGAGCATCTCCATTGCAGTCTGTCCTTCACTATTACGGGAATGTGGGCGGGCCGTGAGCGCACAGAATCTGTGGTTGTATAGCTCTGATGATGACGTTTGCAGCAACATTCAGCAATGGAGAACCTTGAGTTTGTGGTTTTGATGGAGGCAAATACCCCCATTTGTTCTATTTTGTCTTTTAGGAATTCATTGCTGGCCCAAGCATAATCAAAGCAATTCAAATTTCTGATTGTGCCACTTTATTTCTTAAACATGCGACCTTGTGAATTTAGGTAGTGCAGTCAAAAGATGCAAACCAAAATCCACATGTGAACTTTATTTAAAAGAAATGTTCAAACGAAGACTAAAATGCACTTTCAGGGTACAGTGTTCCAGTGTTTCACACAGCAAAATCATGCATGCATGTATTCCTGCTGCTGCTGCTGCTCAAGATTAAACTCACAGTCATGCGATTCCACACTGTGTAGTAATGGGATGTCCGCTGGTCCACTGCAGTGGTTAAAATGTTGTCGTTTGGCGTTTGGAGTGATGTAAATGACGACCAAATCAATGAATGCAGTCTTCTGTCTAACCAATCGCTTGTGCACAATTTTGCGGCTTTGCGCAGCTTACGCTACCCCTAAAGCGAGTACGAAAAACAGGGAAAAGTTGCACAGAGATGCAAAGGATCTGCGAATCCGGCGGACTGGTGCAGGCCACGCAGAACTTCACAAGTACATTTAGCAACATTGCTGATACACAACAATTTTTTTTGAAGGAGATGCGTAACACACAAAGTACAGTGTATAGAAATCTGTGACGTTTAATCAGACAGGTAAGATAACTGAAATTATTGGAAAATGCCAGTACAATAGACAATTATTTCTGGACATTTTTCAAACCTCCCTCAGATTTAGAGGTTTAACAACTTTATCTCAAGGTTAGATAGCATTGCCACGAAACTGCATGACTCGCATCAATGACATGAGCTTGATGGACCATTTCTTGGTCTGTTTCTCCTGACAGAACTTGTGCAATTGAGTCTGGTTTGTAGGCCACCTTCCTCTGCCCATAAATAGATTTATGGGAGTGAAACAAGAGCTTTGGAAGGGCTACAAAAATCATGGCCAGTCCTTAAGCCACTTAGTAACTAATTTGGCAATAGGGTCCTTCCCCATTCAGAAGACCCAGTCATGCCTGAGCTAGAAGAGAAAAGAGCGTGGCAGGTCTGAAATACTGCATTTGAACTAATAATATTTACAAAAAACAAGTCACAAAAACGTATAGAATATGAAAGAATGAATCCTTGAGTTGCTCCATCTTTTACAAACACTTGGGATAAAAGCTGTTCCTTGGGACAAAGCACCTTATATTAACACGTACCCATTAAACTGTATTATCATTTTTCTCTCTGTAGATGCAACTCAAACAAGAACCATACTCAGTATGTAAATGACCCTCATAATGATCAGTTTGGATTGCTCAATAAATCTCCCTTGTTTAAACTCATAAAAAGACCTCCATGAAAATGCAGTTTAAACAGTTTCTGCTCCATCACAGACTTTCACCTACAGTTTTTCTCTCTTTGATTTGCTGTCAGGTTGGCAGGACTACCACTGGCCTGCAGACTGGCAGGGCTATTGTTTTCATTTCCCCTTCATTAATCACTGCCTTAGGAGAAAATAAAGAGAAAACAGGACAGGAGAGTGGAGAGGAGCGCTGGGGAACCATCTTGGGAGGATCT